AGAAGCAGGGCCAGGAAACTAGATTTCAGTGACTGAGGCAAATGTGGAGAGAAGGAAGTGGATACCATCTGGATATGTGGATAAAGTGGATAAAACGGTAATGGACCATTTTACAGAAAGTTTGACTTTAAAAGTGTGTCACTGTGTTTTCAGCTGTCAGCATGGGAATACCCAAATAAAAATGACTTAGGACAATAGAGTCCCTCCCACTCAAAACAACACACACACACACACTCTCTCTCTCTCTCTCTCTCTCTCTCTCTCTCTCTCTCTCACATGACATTTAAGACGCCCAGAGGTGGGTGGCTCCCGGCTGAAGACTACTTGGTTTCTCTGGGATACTCTTGGCCTCCTTCATGTTCATAAGATGACAGAAGCATCTCCAAATATCAGATCTTCATGTGACAGCATCTGGAGGGATAGCTCTCCTCACATGCCTCTCACCTTATATCAGGGAGGAAACCTTCCTAAAAGCCCCCAGCAGACTTGCCCTAATGACTCACTGGCCCTAACACTCACGTTCCCCTCCCCCAGCTACAAGTGAACATCTGGCATTCTGAGGATATTATCAAAAGAGCAAATAGGTGATAGAACACAGAATCTAAGTTGCAAGAGAGGGGAAATGGAAGAGTTAATTCACTGGGGAAAAGTCAAGAGACCGAAGGATCAGAGACACTAAAGTGACCGAAGGACTGGTAACATTGACTGTGTGAGAGAATTGAAAGGATTGGAGAAGGCTTACTAAATGATCCACCTGGGCTTATTTTAAAAATGGTGTGATTTTGGGTGTTGACAGAGTCCAGAATATTACATTGGAAAGAGCGGCTGAGGTACAATGAAGAAGATCAAACGATGAGAGGCGATGGCTACTGGGAGGGTCATCTGTATGGCCTGTGGCCCAACTTGTGAAAATAGAGGTGTATGTAAGAAGTGCTTTTCACACTTCATTGTGTGTATGAATCCCCTCTCCCGGGGGGAGGAGGTCTTATTAAAATGCAGATTGTGTGTGATTCAGTAGGTCTAGGTGAGGTCTGAAGCTCTGTATTTATAACAAGTTACCAGGTGATGTCATGCTTGTGGTCCAGGAACCACACTTTGAGCGGCAAGACCCTGGATATCCCTCTCGTTGACTTCCATAATACATATTCTCTATTTAAACAATCCTCTATCCCACTCTACTCAAGGGGCTGGTCCTTAGAAAATAGGTTCTATTTGGTCCCACCTGTTGGCTGTTGGGGGTGGAGGACCTAATGCAGTTAGAAATCAATCCATAAGCTGGATTCAGCTAATGGAAATTTCTCAGGAGAATCTGAACTCAAAGATACTGAGCTTACCAAGCAGTAGTGGGCACTGGAGCTGTAAGGTCCATTTTCCCTGAATTTAGCACCAAAAACAAGCTAAAGCCACATGTGCATTGAAGTTTGGGGGGAGCAGTAGTCATAAGGAAGCTGGTTTTTAGGAAACAATGGAACAGAGGCGCGGAAAATTGATGAGGCAAGAGAAGAGGCAGCTCTACAGTGAGAGGGTCATTATCCATGGCTCAGCCTTCCTCCTCAGATACACCCTACACGAATATCTGGCCTTTCTGGCCTGTCTTCTTTTTTTTCTTTTTTCTTTTTGGCATGTTTCTTAATTTTTTTAAATTGAAGTATAGTCAGTTACAATGTGTCAATTTCTTGTATACAACATAATGCTCCAGTCATGCATATATATATACACACACACATATATTTGTTTTCATATTCTTTGTCATTAAAGGTTATTATAAGATATTGAATATAGTTCCCTGTGCTATACAGGAGAAATTTGGGTTTTTTAAATCTATTTTTATTTATAGTAGTTAATTGGCCTGTCTTCTTGACTCTCCTCCTCACCTAGGCTTCTTTGGGGTCTGATTTAGAAGGCACCTCCAGGAAGCTGTCCTTGCCTCTAAACCTGTCTAGTGGGTGCCCTCCCCTGTATCCCCATAGTGCCCCAGTGTCCAGATCACAACACTCGTCACTGTTTATGACAACTACCACTTGGATACTTATTTGCCAAGTGTTTTAAATATTCTTTATTAGATTATACTTTTTACAAAACAGTTGAAGTTAGATATTCTAGTTCCATGTATAATTATCTTCACTTTTTACACAGGAGGAACTGAAGAGAGGTTAGATAACTTTCTCAAGATCATACAGCCTGTAGATCGTGGCATCAGGTTTGAGGGCAAATATGATCAACTTCAAAGCTTGTGCTGTTAGTGTCTTCACTGTACCTGCTCCTTTCTCTTTATGGTATTACATGTCTCTATCTGCCACTCCAGCGTCAACACTGTGACCTTTTGACTGTCTCTTGATCACTGTATTACCCTGTCTGGTGGTTGCCTGGTACATAGCAGATTCTCAGAAGTATTTGTTGAATAAATGTGGCTGCATGTGAGTGAAGAAAATTATTTATTGGGCCAGACTTCTAACAGAACTGGGTGCAAGATTGTGTAGCATTCCTCCTGGCACAAAAAGTCCTGAACGAAGAGAAGATCATCTGTAAAATATATAACTGGTTGATTAGATATACACCATACCTGATTCTATTTAGTGCTGCAGATTTCAAATCTGTAGCTGTGTGATTCTTGGTTCACCCGTGTCCTAATCCATTGTCCTAAGCTGTTGTAAGACCATGTGGAATCTTTGCTTGGACTCTTTTAAGGGTTATATGGCTAAAATGTTCCAACGTGGGCTCTCCCTGCAAACAAACGTAGTCAGACCTCTCTTCAATCTAGGAGCTGTAGTTTCCAGGGAACCGCGTGGCTGCATTTGTTTCGTAATACTTATAAATGATCCCAAAGTCAGAGGGACGCTATATTGCCTAGGAGGCCTGTCCACCTCCGGTTCTTCATATTTTAAAACCCGGAGAAGAGGTTGCACATTCGAAGCGTTCTCCGCGGCTGCACATATGCTTAGCACCTTCACCCGAACGATGAGTGACAAGTCGAAGAAATATCTAAGCACGTATTACCTCCCTACCGTTTCTGTCCACGACACAGGTGGACCTATCACAGAGCAAACAAGACAAACGCAACTCTAAATCAGATTTATCAACAACCCCCTTTCTGTCTTAGTTGTGCAGACTGGGAATGTTAAAGCAGACTGGTTGTTGGTAAGCCTTCAGCCCAATGCACGCTAACTTCAAAAATGCGCTTTGCCCACGTGTATCACGCAGACGCTAACCACTAGGAGGCTGAGAACGCGGAGCTCGGGAGATCCGCCACTCAGCAGGGAATAACCTGGCTCCTCTAGAAATAAAAGCTCCGCAGCCAATGGAGCGCCTCGGCACGCGGGATTGGCGGCCCCGGCCGTGACGTCGTCTGGGCGGGCCGAGTCGGTTTGCGACAGTGGCTGCGGGTCCCGGCCGGGGGAAGCGGACAGGGGGCCCGCCACGCAGCGCCCGGAAGGTCTCTTTCTCCTCGACCTCTCTCGCGGGCGCCCCGGAGCCTCGGCACCGAACCTCGACGCGGGCGTGGACCGAGGACCCGCGCCCCCCAGCGCGGCCAGCACTCCCCAGCGTGCGGGCGTTTGGGGACGCCGAGGTTTGGCCTGCGAGTGCGGGACGGTCCGGGGGGTGGCCCATCTGTGCCAGGCCAAGGCGGGATCTCCTCTTCCGCTCGCCCTGCCCGGGCCGCCGCTCCGGCCCTCGGGGACAGGCAACACCTGAGCGGGGATGGGAGTCGCTCAGCGTGGCCGCGGCGGCGCCCCGAACATGTAGCGCTGCGGGAGGGGACGCGGAGCGCTCGGCTCTGCTCGGGCAGCTTCACTTTCTCTGGCCACGGGAACTGGGGCGAGCGGGGTGGAGCGGTGCAGAGGGTTGGAATGCATCCTCCCAGGAAAACTTTTACCCCCTCGGAGCGTGAAGGGTGAACGTTTATCAGGACATTTCGAAAGCACGGGCAGCGATCCGGGAAAGAGGCGGGGTGGCGAGGGGTAGGGAGCGGGGGAACCCCGGGAAGCCGATTTGCTCCGCCAGCTGCGGCGCGAGCCTTGCGGACGGGGAGCTGAGATTT